GAACTTGCAGAAAGTGGCCAATGGCGCGTCAAAGATGAGGAGATAAGGTCTTGGAGGGCACGTGTAGAATATCACGGAGAACACACCCAGGGCACCGCAACCCCCACTGCGGACCCCCTACCTTCAGTTGCGGACCCTATTTCCTACCAACGCTTCTCTTACCTCTATGGTACCGGCGGCAGTGGTAAGACGACGCGCGTGTTAGAACTCTTTCCTAAGATAAAGGTGCTAATGCCAACGCACCGTTTGGAAAGAGAACTCTGCGAAATGGGTTACGACGCGCAGACCTACCACAGCTTCTTCCGTTGGAATGGCCAAAAGTGGGTACCAGAAGCCATCCACGACATACCACCAGTAATACTTTGGGATGAGATTTGCACCGTACCTTTGGAAATCCTGCAGGAGTTCGTAGAGTTCCTTCGCGGGAAATGTCAAGTAATATTCGCCGGAGATCCCTGCCAGCCTCCTCCAATATCCGGAGAAATGCCCCACAAATGGCTAAAGGGGTTCGTAGACCATGCGGAGGAAATTAACACCGACTACCGCAGTAAGGATCAAGTAAGAAACCTGAAAGCGGAATTAAGGGGCCTTAGTGATGCCGAGCAATGCAAGACACTGCGCAAACGCGTACGAGCGAACAAATACGAGGACTTCCTTTACACATGGCATCCAAAGGATCTGGTGCTGAGCAGCAAACGCGCAGCACAGTCTCGCATACAAAAGGATTTGCTAAATATACACCGAGAGCGCTTCCCTACGCATCCCGTACCTGTTTGCTACAAACCCCACGACACCCGCATGCAAAGGAAAGACGTTTGCGTAGCCGGTACCGACATCCAGCTGCAAAATGCGGTAACGCACGATAAAGCCTGGGTGCCCATAGAAAAGGTGGAAAAAATAACCTCCCATCCAGATTGGCGCTTGGGCTATTGCATGACAGTCCACAGCGCGCAAGGGCTTACCATAAAAGAAACCTCATGGATCATAGACCAGTGGCTGTGTTGGAGCAACCTTATCTACACCGCCGTAAGCCGCGTAGAATATGCCAAACAGTTAAAAAGAGGCTGGGGGCCGCAACTGCGCTACGATAAGACGCCAGAGGACGTAGCTAAGGAGAACATTGCTAAGAATCTCCTTCGCTACAAGCGGCACGACGAAGAAAAAAATATGACGTTCGACCTATGCGTGGACGACATTTACGAGAAAGGGGCAAGGTGTGCCAA